TGCTATCTTTGAGAGATAACTGACTTGATCGTCGGAGTGTCCCCGGGTGGACGAACCACCGTCGGAATCTCTTCTTTCTGTTGCAGGTCGTTCGGGCTTAATCTATTCTGCCAGTGCTCTCCAGCTAAGTACTAATTTGACAGTGTGATCGGAAATTGACACTTACACCTATGATGTTAATAAGTTAGTAGAATTAGATTACCATAACAGGTTGATGTCCCTTCATTGACAACTTAAGACGTCACTTTACTAGCACCTAACTAACTTATTGTAACCACTTGAGCTACTGCACAAGTCATATGGTTGAATGATTATTAGTTTAGGAATGTTCAAAATGTTGTATCCAAATTCAATGCACAAAGGATTTCTGAACTTAGAAAATAAAATAAGGACTATGAGATTCACTTGAATATCTAAACACAATGGATCATACAAGTATGATTTTTACAACATTGTCAAACTCTATCTGAATTACAGTAAATTCATACATACAAACTGAGTAAATTCGTTTCTACATCACAATTAATTTAATTTTGAGTCCAAAATCCAAATTTTATTTGATTTCAATATAAACAAAATCAACCTTCCACTCAGAAATGGGTGATTTGATACGTGTTAAAAAATACTATAAAGACATCAATGGAAAATACTCCCTTCATCTATCTCCCTCATTTCAAATGTAATAAAAACAAATAAATTAAAATAAAAACACCTCGAAGTGGCAGCATCGTATGTAAACAAGTCCAATATAAATATTTCTCAGTCGAATAAAAACACAAAAACGGCGACAAAAAGGCAATTAATGTGCCTAAAACGACGTATGTGTCAGACGGCGAACGCAAAAGCAATTTGACTTAGTGGTGCGTGTCAGGTACGGCCCAAAGAGAGGGAAACACGTAGCAAAAACAATTGAGTAGTCATGCGTGACAGCTCATACGCGTGTTGAAGCTTTTAGAATTCTCAATTTAACAGAGTAGAACCTTGGCTTGGAGGATGTTCTCGGCTGAGAAACTTGAATAAAACTTGGTTAAAAATTTTGTGGCATTGGTGAAAGCAGACTGTAAGTTTTTGGTTATGAACGAATGAAGTGAGCTTAGCCGACGTGCTAAATGTAATAAACGATATAGGTTCCATCACCTCAAGATGTCGAGGTAACAGAACTTAGGGGGCAGTTTTGGGGACATATTTTCTGAGTGCCAACACGTGGCCAAGGTGACGCCAAAGTGTCAACCGAGGTGCCACGTGTCCTGGTCATGATGCTGAGATGATCTCGACGAGGCCGAGGTTATCTGCGAGAATACCGGAGTCCGGAATAAGCGGATAAGGGACAAGAGTCCTAGAATGAGGAAGGACTTCAGCCTGGATAAGGATAAAGCTCTTAGGGAGTTTATCTTTATCTATTGAAGAGTCCAAGATAAGTATTGAGCTGAAGTCCATTGAAGCAAGACTTCTATTGGGACTAAGATTGAGTTGGCTATAAAAGAGAGGCACCCCCAATGGGTCTAAGATCCGCAATTTATATTCTGAATAGTGAATTGAGCATTTTTGCTATCTTTGAGAGATAACTGACTTGATCGTCGGAGTGTCCCCGGGTGGACGAACCACCATCGGAATCTCTTCTTTCTGTTGCAAGTTGTTTGGGTTTAATCTATTCTGCCAGTGCTCTCCAGCTAAGTACCAATTTGACAGTGTGATCGGAAATTGACACTCACACCTATGATGTTAATAAGTGAGTAGAATTAGATTACCATAACAAGTTGATGTCCCTTCATTGACAACTTAAGACATCATTTTACTAACACCTAAGCCGTCACTTTACTAGCACCTAACTAACTTGAGTAATGTTAGGTATCATGAAAAAAATATCATGAAAATGATCATGAAAGATTTCCACCATTAGATTACACATATAAGAAAACACTACACGCTAATCAATGGATGACAAATTTTCATGAAATATTTCATGATATTTTTTTCATGATCTCTAGTATTATTCAACTAACTTATCGTAACCACTTGAGCTACTGCACAAGTCATATGGTTGAATGATTATTAGTTTCGGAATGTTCAAAATGTTGTATCCAAATTCAATGCACAAAGTATTTCTGAACTTGAAAAATGAAATTGAAATGTTTCCTCAAAAGACCATGAGATTCACTTGAATATCTAAACACAATGGATCATACAAGTATGATTTTTACAACATTGTCAAACTCCATCTGAATGACAGTAAATTCAGACATACAAACTGAGTAAATTCGTTTCTACATCACAATTAATTTAATTTTGAGTCCAAAATCTAAATTTTATTTAATTTCGATATAAACATAATCGACCTTACACTCATAGAAATGAGTGATTTGATACGTGTTAAAAAATACTATGAAGATGTCAATGAATTGAATTATTAGATAAAGCGCTCCTTTCATTTATATCCCCCGTTTCAAATGTAATAAAAATAAATAGATTAAAATAAAAACACAACAAAGTGGCAGTATCATATGTAAACAAGTCCAATATAAATATTTCTCAGTCGAATACATAAAAATAATAAAATTAAAAATATTTCAACCCAGGAATGTATTTAAATATTCTCTTTGAACTTGGTCCATTGCATTGCCCAACCTCAAACACTGCAAAGAGAGAGAGAGGCTAAGAAAGAAGAAAGAGCCTTGATAAACAAAACCCAAATCCATTTCAGAACATTCACACCTCCTGCTACTCAGTGGCGACTCTAGGAATTTTTGTCAGTAGTGTCAATCAAAAACTTAAATACCATATATCTTACAGAAAATTCACATTAATCATTATATCATCTATGGAGAAAAAAATTAACAAATTAATTTAAATTCTAAAATTATAAACAAAAATATTTCAATATATTGATACTATTGTTTAAGCAAAAAGACATGCTAATATCTAATATGGGTTCAAAATTGGTGGGTTCAAAAGAGTAGGACTTAAAACTATGGGTTCAAAATTGTATTTTAGTGGGTTCAATTACTAATTTTTTTCCTAAAATCTAATATTTATATAATAAATAAATAAATAAATTCAACCAAACCAAGCCTTGGAGCCGCCCCTGCTGTTACTGTATATTTACGTTACATCTTTTGATTTCCATATTCTCTTTCCATTTTGCTTATAATGTTACTTTTTATATCTCTATAGACTCTCATTGGAATATAAAATATACAGGGGAGCTTTTAAAGAAACAAAGGTTTCCTTTTCCTGCGCTATTCTATTCCATATGGGTTCTTGCAAACAGTAGTGAAGCCAGAAATTAAATCAGAGGGCACTTATTTACAAATCCAAAAATAAAATAAAATAAAATAATAATAATAATTTTAAAGACCCTTTGGCTTTGTATATAGATAGATAGATAATTAAATTCTAGTGAGTGGTTTATCATATTAAATTTTGAAATGGAAAAGTAAATATTCTTTTTAAAAGTGATAAATTACAGAACAATTACATTCTAATGAATTGCTTCCATATAGTGTCACAAATTTAAATTTTGAAATAGTTAAGCAAACTTTCCATTTTATGGTCATAATTTATGGGATACTTAAGAGTTCTTTATGGGATAATTAGAATTTTATTTATATGATTAAATGAGAATTAACCAATAAAAAAATTTTTATCATATTAAATTTTGAAATGGAAAAGTAAATATTCTTTTTAAAAGTGATAAATTACAGAACAATTACATTCTAATGAATTGCTTTGTTGAAAAAAAGATTAATTAAATTTTGAAATAGTTAAGCAAACTTTCCATTTCAGGGTCATAATTTATGGGATACTTAAGAGTTCTTTATGGGATAATTAGAATTTTATTTATATGATTAAATGAGAATTAACCAACAAAAAAATTAATTATTAAAAAATAGATGATGAGTTAGCCACTAGTGTTTTTTTCTATAAATAATTTTAAAATTAAAAGAAATTAATTTCTGTTGAAAAAAAGGATTAATTAGCTAGGTGATATATATATATATATAGTATTGTTTTTTTTATTATGGAAACCAATTCCTTAAATCTTTTGTATTTTATAAGGTATCAAATTTTGAAATTTGAATTCCTAAAACATAGGTGAGTATTCATTAAGTGCTTTGTTAACTATGATTTAAATTTTAAATTTTAAATTTCAATTTTTAGTAGCCAATTAATGTTTTTTTCTTTTTTAAAAAATAGCCAAAAACCAACATAGATGGTTTGGAGTTTTGAGACTCTCACAACTCTTATAGTTAAAACCCCATTTTCCCCCATTTTCCTTAATATATATATATATAAACCAGCAAAGTGGCAGTATCATATGTAAACAAGTCCAATATAAATATTTCTCAGTCAAATCCATAAAAATAAAAATACAAATATTTCAACCCATGAATGTATTTAAATCTTCTGTTTGATCTTTGTCCATTGCATTGTTGGAGATACTTCAAATTTATATATATATATATACACACTCGCACACTATTGTGTGAATTCAAAATAACACTTTTCTTTTTTTTTTTTCAATCTTTTCTTTGTAGTTTTAAGTCAACTATTCCCTTTCCTTTTTAGTTTAATCTTGATTTTGGAGTTGATTCGCCCTTTGTTTTGGGAAATTGATTTCGTTTCCTTTTCCTCATATCTTTGATAGGCTATATATGTATGAGCATAAACATGCTGCTGAACGCACAAAAATATTCTGTCTTCTTCTCTAATTTCTGTCACTGTTTATCTGTTTTTTTGGGCTATTCTAGACAGGAGTTCGAAGCCTTGATTGTTGAGTGCACACCAACGAGACTTGTCGTTGAATCCTGGAGAACGACCGCCAAAGCCCATCTCCACCGAGTGGAGGCAAAATTGTTTCTTAAGGACAACAGATTAAGTTCCGTGTCTCGAGGTTTCATACTCTATTTTTTTTCAATAATTTTTCTTTTCACTACGTTTATTTACTCATTCTTGTTAATCAATCATTGTTTTTAATTCTCTATACAGAAAACAGAGGCTATTCCACATGGCTTCTTGCAAAAATCAAGAGGGCAATCGACAAAATTGCTTGTGGGTTCACGGACCTATCATTGTAGGTGCTGGACCCTCTGGGGTAGCAGTCTCAGCTTGCCTCAAGAACAATGGTGTACCCTCTCTCATTCTTGAAAGAAGTGACTGTATAGCTTCTTTATGGAAACAAAGAACATACGATCGTCTCAAACTCCACCTTCCCAAACAGTTCTGTGAACTTCCACTGTTTGGTTTCCCGGAAAATTTCCCCAAGTACCCAACAAAACACCAGTTCATATCATACATGGAGTCATATGCTTCACACTTCAACATCGAACCAAGCTTCGAACAAGTGGTGAAAAAGGCAGAGTTTGATTCAACTATTGGGTTTTGGAGGGTTCAAACTCAAGATTGTGCGTACATGTCCCGGTGGATTATCGTTGCCACCGGCGAAAATGCCGAGCCGATGATACAGGAAATTCCAGGGATTGAGAGTTTTGATGGGCCTGTGGTGCATACAAGTGTGTATACCACTGGTTCTGATTTCAGAAATCAGAGTGTTTTGGTGGTTGGTTGTGGGAATTCTGGTATGGAGGTTAGTTTGGACCTCTGTAAACACAATGCAACCCCTCATATGGTGGTTAGAAGCACTGTAAGTTCCATTAATTTCTTTAAGTACTTTTGCTTTCTACTCATTTTTTCCTTTCTGGGTGTGCATTAAAATCAATTTTTGGGCAGTTGAAACCACTTATTTGAAAATGATTTTTAAATTTGAATAACAATACTTACACAAAAATTGTCGCAAAATCCGACACAAAATATATGAATATTGTGATGCTTGAAAGGTGGGTCCCATAGCGAACCGTTTAAAATATAATCATATTCATTCATATATATTTTGTATATGTTCTTTAACTGATTTCTGTACTTGTACCAGAAATGTCTAATGTTTTAATTGTAAAACTACCATACATTGTGTGTAGGTGTGTGCATATGTATATAATTTTTTTTTTTGGAAGTGCATATGTATATATATGGATTTCTTGGTGGGTTACATTGTATCTGATGTTCTTGCCAATTTTGTTGTTTCAGGTGCATATCCTACCTAAGGAGATGTTTGGCTTCTCAACTTTTGGAATAGCAATGGCACTTCTAAAATGGCTACCTGTAAGACTAGTAGACAAGTTCCTCCTACTGATAGCCAACTTCACCTTAGGAAACACAGACAGGTTCGGCCTCCGGCGTCCAAAAACCGGCCCAATCGAGCTCAAAAATACCACCGGAAAGACCCCGGTGATTGACGTCGGAGCATTCTCACAAATAAAGTCTGGAAAAATTAAGGTTAATTAACCAACTCCAACCAAACACACACTTAATGGGATCACATTTTTTGTGCCCATATGCAACTTTTTTGGTACAATCTTTAACTAATCATTGTCAAGGTTTTATATAGGTGATGGAAGGTGTGAGAGAGATAACCAGAAATGGTGCCAAGTTCATAGATGGAATAGAAAAAGAATTTGATTCTATAATCTTAGCAACTGGGTATAAGAGCAATGTGCCTTCTTGGCTCAAGGTATGCACGACCACCTATGTTTTTCTTTTTTCTTTTTCTTTTTTTGAAGTTTTAGTTTTATCTTTTATTTTTCTTATACAAAAATTAACAGAAAATCTACTGACCCACATTTTGAATCAGAAAATGATCCAAATAGTTTAAATCTACGGTCTACATTTAAAATTGTTATTGTGGGTCACACAATAAATAAATTTAGACCTTTGATTGTTAATTCTGGACAAATTTCTAAATTCCTATTTCTAGATTCTTAAAATTGTTGAAAAATTAATCACAAAATAGAGTATGGAACCACAAAAAAGTAATACTTATCTTATATTACAAAGTTGATCAATTTATGTTTTTTTAAAAAAGAAATTATCTTTTTCTTTAATCTTTATTATCAATCTTATGTCCCTTTCTGTCTTACACCACGCAGTACCCTGCAAAACGTTGCTTATTTATTCTCTTATAAAAAGGAGAAAATGTGATGGCATTTGTTTGGACTATTCCCACTTTCTTTGTATATATGTATATATATTTTTAAAAACTTAGAAATTTTTGTTGGTGTAATGATATGTAGCTGTCATGATTTAATATATTTTCTTTCTTTTTTCACAACAATGTTACGTCCATATAAAAGTGCTCTTCATGTGCATGCTTGAAGGATTATTTTTTACGACAATACTACGTAATTCAAATTTTGTGGCTCAAAAGTGGCTCAAATGGCCAAAACGACGTCGTTTTGAGTACAGAACAACATAAAAATGGTCAAAACGATGTCGTTTTGGCCATTTGAACCACTTTTGAACCACAAAATTTGAGTTACGAGGCATTTTCTTATTTTTTATTTAAAAAAAAAACTAAGAAGTGTTCTTTTTATAAAAGAGGGAATTATGTCAAATTCAAATGAATTTAGACCCTGTCTATTTATTAATCATGTTAAGTTTAAGATTGGACATTTGTGACGTTTCATCTATCTATTCTTTAACCGGTAAGAGCTTTTATAAGCCTATAAAAATAATATTAACTGTCACACGTTGATTGTCCCAATCACAGAAATTAATTTTGAAATTAAACTTTTACAGGGAAGTGATTTTTTCACAGAAGAAGGTTTGCCTAAAACAGAAATTTCCAAGAGTTGGAAGGGAGAGAATGGATTGTATACGGTTGGCTTCACAAGAAGAGGCTTACGTGGCATTGCATTAGAGTCCCTTAAAATTGCCAGTGACATTGCTGATCAATGGAGAACAATCAAGGATTGCAAGAGTCTGTAATTCCCACAATGTCCTTATTACAAAGATAGCCATAATAAAATTATTGGAATAAATAGGAAATATATATATATAATAAATATTAATTAATATATATATATATATATATATATGAGAGAGGGCTATAGGTGGGTTGTAAATCAACCAATTTTGTTTAGGGATCTGCTTATCCTACTCTTATGAATAGAATACTAGCTTTTAAGTATTTCACTTTCATATGTTTTTGAGGAAGATGATTATGAACTTGTTTTGTGTAATCTTTTTGTAGGTTGAAATTTGATAATTAAAAACTAAAAAATCAAACCATTCTTTTCAATAATAAATATTTTTAATTTATTTAAAATATTTTAACCTCTTAAACTGGTTCAATTATGTTCTTTGCTACAAACTCAAATGTCATGGGTGAGATTTTGTCCGGAATAAAATGTAAATAAAGATTTTATGATGATTGATGGAGAACTTTAATAGAACATTATAATTTTTACTTTTAAAACTTTTTTTATTTTTGTCCACATAATTTTGTTTAGGAAAAATATTTTTAAAAAAATTGAGTTGTAATTTTTTTTCCTTTCTGGTATAAAAACATGAGTAATGATTCATCCCCCTTTGCCCCCCACCCCCTTTGACCCCCTCTCTCTCTCTCATTGGTTACCTTTTCTTTTTTTTTTCTTTTTTTTCCTACTCCTCCAATCACCCCCTGCCACATGGCAAGGGGGGTGAGGGGGTGACCCCCAAAAGGAGGTTCCAAGCATTATTCTAAAAACATTTCATCTATATTTCTTCTAAAGTGACACGCGTCAATTAAAGAAGAGTCAACACTTTGAATTGTGATTTCCTATGCTTGAGAAAAGGTCGAAGCCAAGGTACATGGGAGAGAAAGTAGTTTGACGTTCCGGAATTGGGAGTTGTGTAGTATTAACTGTTGGGTGGTAAAATAGACATATTTTGGAATCTATTTTAATAATTAAAATTATTTATATTTTAGAATATATTAAGTAAAATATATTTATAAAGAATTAAGTTAATCGGATATTATTTATCTATTTATTCACTCATATTTATAACAAAAATTTATATCCAACTTTTATTTATTTTTTCTTCAGGAGTGCTGTATCTACATAAGTCTACAAACTTTTTAAATGACTTGACAAGAATGATTATAAAGTTTCGAGAGAAAAGAAGAATGTTGGAATGTGAATCGTTAATTTAATTTTTTTTGTCACGTCATTCGAGAGATTTGTGGAGGAAAAATTGTATAGATGAGTATTTTTCTTTTTCTTATCATCAAAATTTTTTGTTTTAATTAAAATGTTTATATTTAAAAATATAAATGTAAACAGCGCTTGCGTTTATAAATACAGACATTTAGGTAGCATTAGGTAACATTAGCGTTTAGTAACGTTTACATTTTTTGTTTATGTTTACAAAAATTTTATAAATTGATTTTTGTTTATTTTTAGAAAAACATAAATTACAAATGCGTTTGGTTTGAACAAAATATTTAAAAAAATTTAAAAACGTAAACTAAAAAATATGTTTGTACATGCCTAAAATATTTATATTTATTCTTATTATTTATAACAATGGGATCACACACATTACAATTGAAAAAAATTAATTAAAAAAAGGAATATTTAGATACAAGTCCCATTTTGTAAACTTATACTCCATTAAGTCCTAAATAAAATTATTTATTCCTTCAAGTCTCATTAATTTTTAATAGTCCAATTTCTCCTTCCAAGACCTCCTCACGCCGCCTCTGTCCCCTCCATCTGTTGCCTCAGGTTCTGGAGCAGCAGCAACGTCATGTATCTAACATCTCAGATCTGCCATTGGTGCCAAAGCCCCGACGATCTCAAAATCCGATCTGACGCCGTATGTGTTCCAACATCGTCTTTGTTGGCATCATCTTCCACACCGATTTGACAATATTGTGGACTTTTCTTCATTTCACCGCTTACTCCATTCAATACATATATACATGTGTATATACATATAAATCTTTTTGTTTTGTGTATATACACACAAACATATGTATGTATATATATCTGCATGTTAATTTATCTATTCTACTATAGCATCAATAGACTTGGATTTTGAATGTTCTCATGGTTTTGAAATTATTCTTCTGAATTCTAATTTAAAATTGAAAATAGTTTTGGCTTATAATATTCTCAATTTTAATCATTAAAAAAATTGAGAAATTTCTCAAAATTGATGATTATAAATTTCTTAGGTTTGATAATATTCTTAGTTCATACTAGAAAAAATTAAGAAATTTCTTAGTTTTGATAATTATAAATTGAGAACATTCTCAATTTTGGAATTAAAGGGCAAAACGTCTTTTCACCTATAAATGGGACTTAATGGTTCAAAAACTTTTTGACAGGACCTAAGCTACCACCAAATATGTAGATAGGACTTTTTGGTAATTAATCCTTAAAAAAATAATTGAAAAAAAAATTAATTGGAAAAAAATTAATTGAAAAAAATTATTTAAAAAATGAAAAAAAATAATAAAAATAATAATTGAAAAAAATTTAATTGAGAAAAAAATTATTTGAAAAAAAACTAATTGAAAAAAAATATTTGAAAAAACAAATTTAATTGAAAAAAAATGAAAAAAAAATTAATTAGAAAAATAATTGAAAAAAAATTAATTGGGAAAAAAAATATTTGAAAAAAAGTTAATTGAAAAAAAAATTATTTGAAAAAAAATAATTGAAAAAAAAAATTATTTGAAAATAAATTATTTGAAAAAAAAATTAATTGAAAAAAAAATTGAATACTGAAAACATAAACTCATTTTTTGAGTTTACGTTTTTTCCTCAAATTAATAAACTGAGACAACTATTTATAAACCAAAAAAACTATCAAACAAGTTTTTATGACGGTTTTTTTAATTTTTATAAATTTAAACTGAAAACTGAAAACCGAATGGTTATCAAACAGGTCTTTAGTTTTGATGATAGAAAATTTTGGTAATTGTGTGGTTCATACTATTCACACTATTCGGCTCCTCTTTTCTGGATTTAATTTTTTAAAAATTGTAGAGTTTTTGCTTGGTTAGCCAGAAAATTTGAAAAAGTTTTCAAAATCTCTTTTTTGGATTCTTTTTTTAAAATCTCTGTTTGGTTCTTATTTCATGTTTTGATATATATATAGTATGTATATATATATAAAATAAATATGGTGGTACTTTTGATGTGAAAATAATTTATTTATTTTTTTGTTGAATACATTCTTCTGCTCTCTCTCTCTCTGTGGAGGGAAATTTGAATTTACAATGATAAATTTTTTGAAAATCAAATATATGTCCATTTTCAATATATAATTTTTAAATCTCTTTTTAAAAAAATAATTTAAAAAATTGTTAGTGTTGTGGACATGCCTTGGACTTGACTAGTTTTGAAATTGACACTGGTGGGGTGGGGTAGTTTTTCATCATTTTAAAACAGTTAATACAGTCGTAATGCTACATTGTATACTACTCAAACACATACCTCTTACATTGTACGCGATAAAGTTGTGTGACTTGTTAAATAGTGTTTTTTTCAAAACAATTTTGGTTATGATAAAAAATTATTGAATGGTCATTAACATGGTTTGTAGATATATATATATATATATATTTAATTTTTGGGGTTCAGAACATGGTTCATAGAACTATCATTACATTGCTGGGAATAGGCGCTTTAGAGGTATTTAAAAAATACCGCTATAACTGGCCAACTGATATAAGAGACATTCATTGCCTTGAATGGATTGAATCCATCTGCTACTAAACCGAGCCTGACATTGCGAGGCTCACTTGCAAACTTGGAATACAAATTATCAAAAAATTTCCAAATAGGAGAGCCAGCGAGATGTCTCATTTTGTCGTCATCAATTCGGCCCTCTGCATGCCATTTCATTAAAGAAGATGTTTTAGATGACATAAACAACCTTTAAGCCTTGGAATCAAAGGAAAGTATCTAACAATCTTCTATGGAATTCTTTGTTGCTTCTTCTTAACGTCATTCTCCTCCCCCTCAAACTGTTTGTATCTAGGCATATGACACACTATGCAATTATCTATACTTCCTTCCAATAAATGCGGCCCAAGTCCCTAAGGAGTTTCCTAGTTGCATAAAATGACTTTGGCAAAGTTTCACCTTTGGGAACGAATCCTTTAAAAGCTCGAGCAACATCGTGAAAGACTTCTCACTCTATCCACTAAGGCATTTGATGTGCAATAACCAAACAATAAATGAGAGTGTTGAAAACTTCTGACACTCAGGATACAACTCTCTTTCGGCCTCTTTTAATAAATTGAAGAATTTTTCGATTTTTTCATCTGGACCTTGTTTAATAAGTTTCATCACCATCATTCGAATCAGTTTGCCTGACATTCACATTGTGTGGCACAAGCGACGACAAATTCTCCCTATGAAAAATCCAACTGGTGTAACTTGGAAGAAACCCGTTGATCATTAAATGTTCCCCTAATAGGTCTTTCTCCACCAATTTGACATTACGACACCGTTTACATGGGCATGTGACTTCATTCAACAACGGCTTATTTTTGCATGCAAATTTAATAAATTCCTTAACCCCATGTATGTATTCTGGGTGCAACCCATGCTGATTTATCCAACTTTTATCCATCTGACTTTGTTTTACACTACAAATGTCACTGCCAAATCAACAAAGTTCAAAATTACCATTTCAATTTAATCTTAACCTCAATTAAGTACCTTATAATGCATGCGATATGACATCATTCATCTCTAATTGGTCTCTAATATGTTGGTTCATCCTACTTTTCCATTCATGAATGCACAATCTATATTGTAAAAAGCAGCTTATACCGCTCTGTTCATCTCTAACGAAATTTCGACAGCATCTCCCTATGGTTCTTCAAATAAATGACATAGACTAGGTGCACTGCTTGTCTAGTATGCACTCGGAGAACATGAGGAGTTTCTACATGAAATCTCTATAAGATGGACTATAAGCAGTAGAACTACTAATTACAATACA